CTGATTGTCAATCAGTGTTGCTTCCTAAATGGACAGTTTGATTTCACAGGAGTGTGATTGACTTGGAGTTACATTGTGTTGTTTATTTTTTTGAGCAGTGTATATACTTTTTAATTTTTTTTTTTAAAGTAGTATGTTATACTATTAGTAATGTAGTTTCTAACCTCCTCCTGTGTATTTTGCAGTCAGGAGCAGGAGAACTCGATCCCCAGCGGCGCTCCGGAGAGTCTGACCTTCAAGGAGCGCCAGCGTCTCTTCTCTCAGGGGAAGGAGGTTTCCAACAAGGTCAAAGCTTCACGCAAACTCATGGAGCTGGAGAACGAGCTCAACACCAAGTAGACACCGAGCCTTTCACCATCCCAGCGACCGCCTTAACGATGACATCACCAAGGTGCTCCTGGGACAAAAGAAGAGAGTCGGCGCTCGCTTCCCTACCACTGACCGTCTCCTCCTGTTTGTGTTGTTCCCACCTTTTTTTTTTTTTATTTTAATCATTCAATAACTGGACCTTTTCGACGTAGCTATATCGTTGCAATAGGAGAGACATTTATGGCTTAAAATTTTCTTCCCCTCGTTAAGGTCTGTCAAAGATATATAATGATAAAGCACTGTAAAAAAGTTTTAATTGTATCTAGTGAGAATTTGAGAATCACATGACAAAGGGGGATATATTTTTTTTTTATAAAATGGTTCTTTGGGCAACGTAAGGAGAGGTTTATTCTCATTTTGTTTTTTTAAATAACTCACAAAAATATGAACAATTTTATGTTATTTTATGCTCTTTTTCTGCATCGTGTTATTTGAACACTTTAAATTTCTTCTTGCCAGCAGAAATGCCCACAGTTGAGCTCCAGACCAATCTTTTATTTTTATTTTATTATTTTTTAATTGAATCCTCAGTGAGTGGAAACACTGTTATTTTCATTCCGTAGCAAGAAGCATGGGGTTTTATTTTGTTTTATCTTTTGTGATGTTTTAGATAAACTCTGAAAGATTCTCCAGAGGAGGATCGTACAGTCCAGAGAAGGATCTTTAATTGCACAGCATTACTGTAAATATTTGGGTTCACAGCTGTCTCACTCTTTTACTACTGTAGAAACCTGCCAGGCTACTAAAAACTGCAAAACTAATGTGACTTAACCGCATTTTGGTGATAGAACAGGAACTTCTGCTAAAACTGGACCGCCTCCCCGCTGCTCCTCACTGTCAGTGCAGTTCAAAATGTTCCAAAATCTGAGTTAACTTTATTTTAAATCTAAAAGTCAAGTTGTGTGAGATTAATTTGACTGATTGAACCCTATATTCAAGCCAGAAAAAGGATTTATTTCACTCACAATGTGATTAATTAATGTTGGTTTTCAGAATAAAAGAAAAAGAAATTAAAACTACTCTTTAAGTCCTTGTTTGCTTTACAGATATTTATTTCAAACCTTGTGGGGGGGGGGGGACATACTTGCACAAAAACTTTTATTAATATGTATCTACAAACTGTTTTGAGAAGTGGATTACATTTGGGACCTCTCGTACTGTGGTGGTGATCTGTGTTCTGCATTAGAGACAGAAAAGTGCTCTGTTTTTACACCAGCTGTAGTTCGGGGAGATCCTGATGATGGTTTTTTTGTTTGTTTGTTTTTTTTAAGGACTGGAGTCAAGGTGACAGAATTGTGATTGTACAAATATATATACACAATTTCCATAATCACATTCACCACCACCGCTGCTGCTCTGCTGACATGGAAAAGGAACGCACTTCAAACCCCGGTGTGTCCCCCAGTTTAAAAAAAAAAACAAAAAAAAACAAAAAAAGATTTTTAAAATATAGTGATGTTTCAAATGTATCTCTCTTCTGCAGTTTGTTTGAGTGACTCCATCCTGTGTGTGGATTTATTTCATTTTGTCTCTCCAGGAGCCTCCACTAAAACAGATTCTACATGATGAGATAAGATGCTGTAATCAATAACCGACCTGTAAAAACACTACAGATGTGTCTCCTCGCCTCTCTACCCCCACAACTACTCCTTTTTAGGTTTGAAAATTAACTGAATCATTTAAATGGTTTCATGTTTAGCCTTTTGTAAATCATTAATAAATACAGATTTTTCAACAGTGCAGGCTGGATGTGTGGTCTTTTGTCATTGCAATAAAATACATTGATTGGCTCACTTTATAAGCAAGGCTAATTTGACGTTCATGGGTGCATTGATGTTTAAATGCAGAAGCTGTATAAACTATTTTAACCGTATTCAAAATTGTACTTAAAGTGCAAAAGTATTGGCAGCAAAAAGTACTTGAGGCGAGACACCACAGTCACACAAATCAACTTCAACTATTATTACGATACTTTCATAAAATTGGTGCCGACTAAAACCTTCCGCACATACAACAACCAAAAACCCTGGTTCACAGCGAAATTTGGGCAGCTTCGTCAGACCAAGGAGGAGGCCTTCAGAAGTGGGGACAGAGTCCTGTACAAGCAGGCCAGGAACACTGACTAAAGAGGTCAAAGCAGCAAAGAAATGCTATGCTGAAAAGCTAAAAAACAGCTTTGCAGCCAACGATCCTGCGTCAGTGTGGAGAGGCCTGTGCAAACTCACCAACTACAGGAGACCATCCCCAAACACTGCTGGTACTCAACAACTGGCAGATGAGCTGAATGGCTTTTATTGTAGGTTTGAAAAGCCCACAGTCACACCTCTCCCCACTCCAACACCATTCAAACAGTCACCTTCCCCCTCTGACACACTGCCACCCCACCCCCTGACCCCTCACCTGCACTCAAGATCTGTGAAGAGACGTGAGCCACCTCTTCCAAAGGCAGAAGATCAGGAAGCCTCCTGGCCCAGACGGTGTGTCTCCATCCTGCCTGAAAATCTGTGCATACCAGCTGGCCCCCATCTTCACACAGATCTTCAACAAATCACTGAAGCTGTGTGAAGTTCCCTCCTGCTTCAAACGCTCCACAATCATCCCGGTCCCCCAAAAACCCTCCATCTCTGACTAAATGACTACAGGCCTGTCGCCCTGACATCTGTAGTCATGAAGTACTTTGAAAGACTGGTGTTGGCCCACCTGAAGTACATTACAGGCCCCTTGCTGGACCCCCTGCAGGACCCCCTGCAGTTTGCCTACAGGGCTAACAGGTCTGTGGATGATGTCAACTTGGGTCTGCATCACATCCTGCAACACTTGAACTCTCAATGGACACATGCAAGGGATCCTGTTCGTGGACTTCATCTCAGCGTTCAACACCATCATCCTGGACATCCTCAGCACCAAACTCACCCAGCTCACTGTGCCAGCCTCCACCTGTCAGTGGATCACAACTTCCTGACTGACAGGAGTCTGCGGGTGAGACTGGGGAACATCACATCCAGCACTTGGACTATCAGCACTGGCGACCCCCAGGGGTGTGTGCTCTCCCCACTGCTCCCTCTACACCAAAGACTGCACATCAGGAGACCCATCTGTCAAACTCCAGGGCCCGTATTCATAAAGATTCTAAGAATCCTCTCAGAAAACTCTTAATTTAGCTTAAAAACTTTACGTAGGAGTCTTAGCTTAAGAGCGATCAGGGACTGATCTGAGAGCAACTCTGAGCAAGGAAAAGACAAAACTTTCATCTTAGTGAGGAGGCGGGGTTGACCCCGTTGCTATGTATGACACAATCTTTTGAAGACTGTGATTGGTTGGTTGTCCAAGAAGGAAAAAGAGTGATTTTAAGTATAGGTTCTACTCTAAGCCTTCACTTTGGAAATTACATCCCTAATATTTCCTATTTGACCATTTGTATATAAATCCTGTTTTTTATTTACCATGCTGTTAATTTCCTATAAGTTATTTGATATGGCATTCCTGCGCTGTGTCGGAGATGTTAGCGCGTCTCTAATAAAATCAGTCGCAAACATGATCCCTGCACGATCTAATCTATAGCGTCTGATTAATTCACTGTCATCCATTGTCTGCAACACATTTCTTCTCCCTCTTCGTCTTTCTGCCATTTTCTCCTCTATTAAAGAAACTCTTAAGCCTCTTAAAAGTCCTCGTCCGTGCTCCTAACAATTTTGACATTAAGACCTCTTTTAAGGGTTAAGATGCTTTCTGAATTACGTTTTTCTTTAGCAGGATTTTTTCTTCTAATTGTAAGAGTAAACGCCCACATTTCTAAGAATTTTGTCACTAGGAGCTACTCTTTGCATTAAGATTTTTTATGAATACGGGCCCTGAAGTTTGCTGACGACATAACGGTCATCGGCCTCATCTGGGACGGTGACGAGTCGGCCTACAGACGGGAGGTCGATCAGCTGGCTCTCTGGTGCGGTCAGATCAACCTGGAGCTCAGTCAGACTGTGGAGATGACCTTGGACCTTTCAGGAGGATATGCTACCTGTGGTTCTATTGCATTAGCTAACCTTCAACAGCAGTTTTTCTTAAAATGACATTACCTGTACCCACACTTTAAAAACAAATGTTTAGTCTCAACAAAAAAAATTAAGGCAACAGTTTCCATTAATCTATTTGAGTTATGACAACTTCTGTTGAAATTATATTGAACAAACAAACTATATTGAGTTAGGGGAATTAGCTTTTCCTCTACAATCAAAGACAATTTCTAGTACAACTTACTTAATTGTTGATAGCTTAAAGACAAGTGTTTAATTTGAATACTCATACAATTTAGTTGCTCCAACTAGATTTTCTTCTTATTTAAAAGTCATATTTACTTAATTACCATAATCATGAATGCAGGATTTAAGCTAAAATCCAATGTAAAAATTAAGTTGTTCCGAATAGATTTTCTTTTGTTGTTTAAAAAAAAAAAAAAAAAAAAATCTGTAAAATATTAACTCCACAAATTAAATATTTTGTAAAACCATTAAATTTTTTAAAAACTACAGTAACAAAGTTCCTACCGTTCCAAGTGCTCATTAAAAAATAACTTTCAATGCCCACCAACCTTCCCAGAACCTGCAGCATTTTACAGTTGCACACAAAAAGGGATATGTATTTCTTTAAACATCATCTTTATTTTGGCAACTTGACAGAGAAGCAATCTCAATTTTGTATCCTCTTTAGTTGACATCCAATTACAAAACAGTGTAATCTGAATAATATCGGAAATTGCTCTGACACAAGTGGAATCTTTAGAAAACACTGTTCTTAAGAAATTACTTTTGCACTGGCTTTCAGTCCATCGAGGTAAAGAAAGAGCTTCTAAAAAACTTAAAAAGTTTCATAAGTAAAACAAAGCACTTTGGGATATGCTTTCACTCCAGGACTTTCATTCTCCACTCCACCACAATAGCTGTTGTCTTGTGGTCAGCTACGGGGGTGGACCGGTCACAGATGATGCCAAATTTTATCACTTGGCTTTCCAGGCTGGCCTCAAACTCTTTGTGTCCTTGTAAAGCAAATGTAAACATAGGTTACTGTGTTAGTGATGATGAATTGGAACATTACTGCTCAGAATGATACAGAATGAATATGAATATCTTCTCCAGACAACAACTCTTTTGTTTTGTAATAAACCCCATCAGAAAATACCCTGTACTGACCAAGACAGAAAAAACGAAACACCACTACTACTTTTATCTCTCTATAAAAATAAAAATTGAAATAAATGTTACTCACCATAAAATGTCCTTTAAATCAAGCTTCTTCAGTCTACAAGTCCACTAACACAGTCTTACTGTCTGAATTTGTCTAAGCATGTTAAGTGTGTAGACGTGGGTAAGTGAGGGAAGTTGAAATCTTGAAGTCAAGGTGGAGAAAAATTAAGTTATCAAACCAATTTTATTAAGTTACTGGAACTTGAATTTTGTTGTAAACCCATCAACAATGAAATTTGAGTTAACATTACCAGCAAAATTAAGTTGATGTAATTACCAACATTATTATTTAAACACAACTCATAAAAATAAAGTTTGCAACTTAGAAGGTTTATCTAAATCAATAAATTAGAATTTTTATCTTGCAGCCATGCAAGCACCACCAAAGTGGTGGTGACAGGTCCCCTGAATTAGTTTTTATAGTGCAGAGTCATTTTCCTCACCCTTCAAAGCAGTTAGAGCATCATAATTTTACACCACACTGTTTCTTAAGTCTTATAGCAAGACATTTAAAAAAAAAAATTGTTTATTGTTCTCATTTTATCTGTAAAAATGTGGGGGTAAAATAACCGTCACACATATGACTGCATATTTTAAATAAATCCATGAAAAAAAACAATATTTTGATACTGTTCTGTGATACTGTCCATTCGGTATCACAATAAAACCAAAAAATTCATGAGTCTTATCAATGTGCTGGAAAGTGGATTTGTGTAATATGCAAGTTGTGCATATTTAATGAGAAAACACCTAATTTGCGTATTAAAATGAATTACAAATAAAAAAAAAATAAAAATTGTAATTCTGTGAGCAACCAGCTTGTAAAGTTTCATTGTGATATGACTTAATTTGGGGATAAAAAGCCTATTTGACTCATTAAGAATCCAATAATACAAGTGGTAACGTACTTTGTTGTATTTGGTCAAGAGGAAACTAATTTGTTAATTAGATCCACCTTGACCAGTTGGTGAATTCTGCAACATTAGATATTTCTCAACTGGCCAGAGTGTCTAACACGCTGAATAGCTTTAGTTTTTGCTGCTAAATGAAACAAGTGGGTGACCCGGTGGGGTTCAAGAGGTTTCGGTTTCATACGTTCAAGGTTAAGTTTTAGTGACATCTAGCGGTGAGGGTTGAGAAAACAGGATTACCTTCATGATCCGCTTTCCCCGTGTTTCTGCTGGGGTCAGTGAAGAAGGAACCGCCACCAGGTTTCTTCTGCTCTTCCTGTTTGTATCACTTAATTTAGATGCAAGTTACTTTCTGACAGCGTCAGCTATCTTAGACCACTCTATTTTACTCCCTAGCTAAACAACCAAGAGATTATCTCCGGGTTTACCCAGTTCACGTCGTTGTTCTTGCAATTTTTTGTGTTTCAGTGTAAAAAACAAATGTGTTTATCTCTGCCCGATGAGAAAAATGGCGTCGGTTGCCACGCAACAGACAGAAACGTTAGTAAGTGATGTTGGATTGAGTATTTGAGATTTTCTAACATTAGATATTTCTCAGGTTAGTAAATGATGTTGGATTGAGTATTTGAGATTTTCCAACATGTCTCAAGTTCGTGGGGGGAAGAAATTTGTCCAACGGTCGCCCTTCTGACGTCTATAACGTCAGGATGGCCGAGCGGTCTAAGGCGCTGCGTTCAGGTCGCAGTCTCCTCTGGAGGCGTGGGTTCGAATCCCACTTCTGACATTGACTTTTCTCCTGAAAACACTTATGCCACACAACTATCATCTCAACTGACTTCAATTTCTCACTGACAAATTCACTGGTAATCATCTACAATGACATAACACAATACATTTTGTGAATCTTTTCCCCACATTATTTTGTTTTGACTAGTTTTCTTGGGCCTTTTTCACAACTGATGCTTTATGAGAAACAGTTTTGGTTTCATTTGTTATGAAAAATACAACTATGTTTATGTTGGTAAGCTGTCTGCATCAAGACAAGAGCTGAAATACAGTGCACTTTGTATTAAAATCACCTCAGCCAAGCTCATATTTAGGTGGTGTGATTTGTGATCCCTCCATTCACAGAAAAAAAAACACAGCAAGAAACATCTTGTGTTGTATATTTTTTTCATAACAAGTAACACCAATTTGGGTTTATCCCTGGTTTGACAGCCATTACTGCGCCTCACATACAGTAAAGTTCCTTCCTCATTCACAGAGCACACAAGTAAAACTCTAATGTAAACAGACACCACTTAAAACTGGTTGAATGATTGGGGATACATAGTGTCCAACAGCTGTGCCAGATCCAGGTCTTGAACAATCAATCCTGACTCAACAGCGCACTCTAGTGGTGGAGCAAGAACTGGAATTTCTGTAGGGGCCATTCAAGACTTCAGTTTTCCCCCACAACCCAAATAAACCTGTCCCACACCTATATCATGAGAACAAAATAAGTATTGGTGAGGATTTAATTTTGCACCTGAACAGGCACATTGCACTAATTGTAAAAATTTCAAACTGTTACAATTACGAGTTAGTAGCTTGGTCAAAATTCACAAAGTAGACCTAATTTAAAATTAATTTAACAAAATCTTTGTATGGCTACTTCATTGTTTATTTCACCTCATTAAATAAACACTGTAGGTCTTACTGTCCAAATTCGTTTTTAAACAAAGCACTGAACAGAATGGAAAAATGTATGTACCTTATTAATGCAAAGACCCTGTACAAAGAGAGCAAGTAATTTGAATCATAATAAAATTATATTAACTGTAAAATTAACTCATTAAAACTCATTTCTCATGCTCCTTGGGAAAATAACAAGGTGCCGCTGATGTAACAAATCTTCAAAAAAAGTCACTCAAACCAAGTCAAAAAAACTAAATAAATCAGTTTCACCATAACTAAATACAAGTATGTTTATAAAGTAACAAAGTAAGGTAGCACTGCTAATTTTAAGTGTAATAAATCACTTTTATGTGACTGTTTCTGGAGCACCTCTCACACTCAAAGTACTGAGACTGAAACGTTTAGCCAAAACATCCAAGAAGCAGCATCTCACTTGGATTAATCCAAAGGTGGGTAATAAGGAACCGCTGCTGGGCCTCGGCACTCATTTTAGAGACAATATACAACCAGGCTGCCTTCACATCAGAAAACCTGCAACAAAAGAGAACACGGTAGGTGAAGGTGAAGACCTGGAGAAAGGAAGTGTTACCAACATGTACGTATGTTGTCTATGGTTGTTTGTATAAGATACAAGTTATTGTGTAACAGTCTCATTTTTTCTTTTTGTTGTGTATGTTAATAAAAATTAATGCAATGCTTTTCAGTAACCATTTGATGGCCGCACTAGCCGCCAAACACAGAGACAAGAGCACATGGTCGTAACTATTTATTTTCTGGTTTTAGCACATTATACACAAAACAAAATAAATTGGACACAGATTTTAGTTTCATAAACAGTTTTATTAGCCATTTAGGTGCACACGTTAAAGGTCTTTGTCAATTAAATTGCTAGAACTAGCAGTTTAATTAGCAATTTAATTGGGGGCCTCTGGTTGGTCTGCAAAAGGACTTCCAGCTGAATTACATCAGTTCAAATAGTAAGGACGGACTGCATCATGTCCCCCCTGCATCATAAGTTTTATTTTTTCTTTGACATCATTTTAGTGTTTACCCTTAATTAATATTTGGTAGCATTGTCTTGACATGTTTTGTAGTTAGTTTCTATATTATGTCTTCGTCTATTCCCCTTTGTGTCAGAATGGCCTGATCAGTCACTATATAAAGTCTCAGTCTCGTTAGGTTCATTTAGTTCTGTTGTTCAGTTTGTTAAATTAATGTAGCCCGAATAATGTTCTGTCTACTTGACGTCATTTATGGGCCCAGAACTTTATTGTATATTTTGTAAATCAGTTGTTTTGCTTATTTTTGGTAGCTTTTTTTGGAAACTTTATTTCTGACTCCTCATGCCTGTCAGTTGACAAACCACCTCTTTTATGTTGGATGTCTTCCCATCAGCACGTGAATGTACCACCCTGGTATGAATGTACGTTTACAAAAAGTAAAAATTAACAACTAAATATTCAGTATGAAAGCCAATTCCAAATTTTTAAACTAATGTTAGCCAGTGGTTAGTAAACAGTGGCAGCAAACTGCAGTAATCAAAATAGTAGGGCTGAAATGATTTATCGAGTAATTTTCTTCATTTAATCCATGTAACTACATAGTGCACTGTTTTACACGGACAATTATTACTGTCGCACATCGCGTTTACGCTTCGAGTAAAGAAATTATGATGGTGCTGTTTGCAAAGTAGAGGAAGAGAGAGAAAATAATGAGGGATGAAGAACAGAATGGCCAGAAAAACACACAAAGTGTGCGAAGTATGAGATGATTTCAAGCTACAAGAAAAACAATTCTGTACCAACTACACTGCCGTTTAATGGAAAATCTGTATTAACTTTAAGCCCGAGAAAATTATTTACGAAGCTACATCAATTTAATAAAACATTTTATTATAATACATTCATATTCAACACACTATAGCTTTGGGAGTGTTTGTACTTTGATAAGATAAAATTAATCAAGGACGTTTTAACACTATTTGAGGAAATATTCAATGCTGTCCCCTAGAAGATTTTGAGCACTAAACGCTTAATTTCCTGCATTCCAGAGACATTTTCTGCACCAATTTCTGGTAGAATTGTCTTTATATTTGTCTTTCTAAAGTGATTCAGTTTTTTTTTTAGCTTAAACTTTTTTGAACAATGCACGTTTGTTTCTTTTATCTTTAAATTGCATTGCATGTTTTCTTATTGTGCAAATAAACCTTTCTCAAAGTTTTTACATTATTTTTTTTTTTTTTTTTACAGTTCTTGTTGCAAGCCATTTTCCAGAACACATTTAACAAATGCTTTAAAAAAAAAGTGGGAGACATGTCCCCAGTATGAATGACACCTATAAAATGAATACAATATTTGTGCATTAAGAACTCTTAAGGGGTGAAATCAAAAATACAAACAAACTGTGTGGTATGAGTTGTTGCAATTAGTTACAACTTGGCTAGATAAGGTAAAGTACATATAATATAATGTGCAAATTGCTTCAGTGATTATTCATCCTGTTCTGTTTTTCTAAAGCACCTAAAGGCTGCTTGAAATAGTATTATATAGTATTGGCTTGAAAGCAGCGGGGATAAGGAGTTGGGCTCTGGTTTGTTTTTCCCTCGTTCCCGTGATCGGCGCATCTGGGTGATGTAAGTTTAATGTGCGTTAGTTTGATGTTTCCATTCACATAACGTTAGTGGCACAACGCCGACACACAGACACGGTCCTCATCTCATACACCCCTGTCTCTAAGTTGCTGTAACATTCACTTACCAGTAACCTTCAGCAGGTCTTCCAGCTCTGCTGTTCCATTAGCGCTCGCCACAGTGTGACTGGCTCGCAAGCCGATCAGCTTGTTGTGCTAACCTCAGAGTGTAAGGCTAAACACTGACGTAAACAGTAACCTGTACGGCCGTATAACATCAGTCACACCAAATGGAGTATATTATGAAGTCTCACACACAAAGTATTCATTTATGACGTTCCGGCATTAATTAAATCCTATGAAAGGACAAGAAAAAAAAATTAAGACCTTGGAAAACAAAATTTAAGGCCTTATTTTTAGAATATGAAATTTAAGACTTTTTTAAAATACTTTTAAGACCCCGTGGCTACCCTGGTTACAGTCTGTCCACCATAAAACGAAACTTACAGCCTACAGCAACAGCATGACGGAAATGTTCAGCATCTGATCAGAAAGCACCCGGTCTTGTCCACGGAGCAGACCCCAAACAAGGTAACAGCAACTTATTAACATCTTACATAAAATCATGATTGATTGTTGAGCTGAAGGCTAGCAAAAGGTAAGCCGCAATGCTCAGCTGAAAATGTATAAATGTGCGTTTGTTGTTGTTGTTGTTGTTGTTCACGCCTGGCTGGGATGTGTGTTTGGGTTGTAACGTCACAGTCTTCCCGGTACTGCGGGGGGGGGGCTCCAAGCAATAGTATTTATTATACGATTCCTTGATGAAACGATGACATAATCTGTAGTTTACTCGATTACTAGTATTTCGTTAGCTGCGTCCCTACAAAATCCACTTTCACCTGATGGCAATACACAATATAGTAAAAGAGTAAATGTTCTGTTGTTGGTGTTCTCTTCTTACATTGACCAGATTGTGGCACATCGCTGAGTGGCATCTTCCCCTTTGCTTCATCAGTAGACTCAACAGTAAGATCTGACTTCCCGTAAGAGCCTTCATCTTCCTGGCCACACTCTTCCTCACTGTCATGGCTATGAGGAGCTGCATTACAAAGTTTCTGCTGCTGGAACCTGAATGCATCAGAAATACATGTACAAACAATACAAACCATGTATTTAGCTTGAAAATTTTTGAAACATTTTCCTTCCTGCCCATTGTGACTTTTGATGATTTTCCTTAGTTTTAACTACATTTTAATCAGATTTTCTTATTCAAAATTATACATTTCCAGATTTTTTAAAACAATTACTACTAATGAATTCAATCTACACTGCTTCACTTGTCTAGAAGTAGTGAATAGAATAGTATAGAATTTAAATTGTAAAGATCTGAAGGCCCGGCTAAAAGTTGCTTCAACAAAACCGTATTCAAGAGATAAATTCAAAGTGACAGGAGCATACCTCAGTTCTAGCACAATGTCTATGTACTTGGCATGTCCAGCATCCACCAGCTTCTCGGCAACATGGACGCCATCAGCCAGAATGTCCACCTTCCAGTGTGTGTTTGACACAAACTCTCTGAAGAAGATCTCAAGGTTCTTTTGGTACAAACACTGCTGGAAGAAGAACGCTGCTTCATCGGTCCACTGTCCATCCACTCCGACTGGCTTCACCCCTCTCAGGATGCAGGGGTATGTCACTTTTGGGAGGTTCATTATCTCCTCTGGAAGCCTCTTCAGCTTAGAGCAGTCTTCGTATGGCATATATTCATAAAGGCCATAATCCACAAGGTTTAGGACCGCTGTGGTGTCGGCGTGTACGATTTCGGCCCTGCACCACTTGTTCTGCGTGTCTGATTTCAACAGGCAGCAGGTACCAGGGACGAGGTGGGCTTCAGGAAGAGGAGACATCGGCCCAGGGAGGTCGTCCATCATCATTGACACCTTGTTCATGACTAGATGCAAGTCCTCCAGAACAACGCAAAACTCAACGGGAGTCGTCACTGCAGAAGCAAAGCCAGAATATGCTTTGTCTATATCAATAGGAGCAACAAGAAGTTGCTGAGGAGGGCTTGTTTCCAAGTTGAATATTCCGTCTGCTTTCTCATTTCGGGTTTCAGCAGGTGACGACATCAACTCCTCATTCTGTTGCAGTGAAGTTGTGATTTGACGAATGAGGAATAGTCCATTTATGACTATTTCAACCATCCAAAGTTGATCAGCTTCTGAATAACACACAAACACCAGCTTGACTTCTTTGCCTATCATTGGTTTGAGAGTTTCATGCCACAATTTGTATGCACCCTCTACCTCACTGAACCCAAGGCAGTTCATCTTACACAAAACGGCAAGGTTGGGGATTTTTGTCAGGTCTCTACACTGTCGTCGGATTGAGCCACTTGGAATTTCTTCTGTAATTCCATGATCCACAAACAGGACCTGGCATTTTCCCCGGCCTACATGTTGAACAACTGCCCGGTGCCACTGCTTGTCCTTGTGTAGCTGAACTAAGCACTTGAGGCCTTGTTTGACATCCTCTTCAGCCACCATCTCGCATTTGTATAGGTCAGCTATGCGACTTTCCAATGCAACAAGTAGGTCACTTGTCTTATTTAGTCTGATGTAAAAATAGCTGTTACTCAGGACCGACAGAACTGTGCCATTCTCCGTGTCTCCAGCTTGAATAGTCGGAGGTTTGACTGCATCTGCACAATCACGCTTCGCTTTGACAGAGGATTTAACTAGTTTCCTTTGATTCTTCTTAGAATTAACCATGTTTCTTATGGGTGTTCTTCTATGGCGCAAGCAGGTTACTACCTTCAGTTTGGGTGACCGTGTGGCAGCTGGTTGTTTCAGCAAGTTTTCACGATCAAAAGTAGGTATATTCTTTTCAGATTTAGTGATTTCATTCTCACTCAGTCCTTTTCTCACGTCGTTCTGTTCACAGGGTCTCACTTTCTCTTCTATTACAGGTGAACTTGCAGGAGCCTCCTCTTCCTTTTCAGTTTCAGTGCTACTCTCAACAGCTGCTTCAACTGCTGCTGGAAGACCAACGGTTCCATCAAGAATCTCAACCTTAACTACCCATTGATTTCCACATGGACGGACAAAATCAACCATGAGAGGCTTCTCCATTACAGCATCCGTGAATGAAGCATCATTTTTGTATGTCCTTGGGTCAAGCAGTGAGCAGGATACACAAAATCTTGGCTGAGGGAGATATTCCTTTGGTATGGAGTAGATCTTCTCCTTCTTCACAACTGTTGAGTTGCCATAGTCCACAAACTCAACTTTGAAACAGGAACTTCCTTCATAGTCCTTCACAGCAGAACGATAAAGACCGCCATCTTCCTCATATTCTGCCAGAACAAGGTCATCGATTCTCAAAGATGTGGCGGTCTTCAAAGAATCTCTCAACGTACTTGAGTTGAGATCTTCACCCATTTTTAAGATGGCAGGTTCATCCTCTGACAGCTGAAGGAAAAAACTTAAGACTGAGTCGATGTGTGAGACAAAACACAATGCCCTGAAACCTGCGCTCACTTTCATGTCAGGCAAACACGAAAGCTGAGGAACATCCGTTTCCTTTGTATATTGTGGTTGTTCGGACTTTGTTTTTGTATCACGGCAGTCTTTTTGTTGTTTAACTGGAGAGCTTTTCTGAATCTTTAGAGGGACACAGCTCTTTGTATTGTCATCATTTTGTTGTTTCACTTTTGTGTTCTTGTTGTGGGCTTTCCCACTTTCCCAGTTTTTTGTGTAGTCTTTCTTTTTGCAGGGTGCTCTCCCAACCGTAGTGCCTCTATGGGCATTCAATGTGGGAGAAATTGAAGACGCCATTCGCCTTTTATGTTGATGACTCATGCACTTGAGTGAAGCCTTTGGGTTTCTTCTTTGGGAAGTTTTGCATTTTGTCTTTGTGCTACTAATGTCAAAGCTCACAACTGTCTTTGGTTTAGGTGAAAGACTGAGAATGAGCTCCTTTACCTTCTCATTGATGTTAACATCTCCATCAAACAGTTCAACACCAAATGAACCATCTTCGGTCTTTTCCACTATGATGGCTCTCACTTGCTTGTTGAGGATTGTGCCATCAAGCCATTCATTGACATCTGCATAGAGATCCTCCTTGGACACTGAAGCAAGACTGCACCTCACAGCCTGCATGGGTGTGTACAACAAATCAGAGTCTCTAGGGATAAACATGACCTGGGTTTTCTCCGATATGTTTACGTTTCCAAAATCCACAAAAAACACACCAAGATGCAGAGGTGACTCAACAGGATGTGCCAAGCCTCTGTACCATTTGCCATCAAAGTATTTTGCCAGGCACAGCTTCCTCAAAACAGCTCTTGTACTGGCTTTCATCATTTTCTCACTCTCCTCTGAGATTTTCTTTTCAAGTTCTTCTATGATTTCACTGTTTCTCTCAAGCTGGCAGTAGACCTCCCACTGACTGCTAACATGAGTAATAAATACTTGTTCTTCCTTTCCAGGACTTAGATCATATGACGAGTAAACAAAAGACTCAGGAAACATCGTTGACAGTTGCTTTGTTGAGAGTGTCACTTCTCTTGCCAGGCCCTTTTCCAAGAGCAAATCTGTTATGCTCTGTTGGGTTTGGGTTTTGTAGAGGTCCACAACATTGCACAGGCCTTTGTTTTTCACATTCCACTGGGAGACAACTTTACATCTCAGACCACCTGTGTTGCAGAGGACAAAATCTTTCAGCAAGTTGCACACCTCCGGACTCCATTTCCCACAGTTCTTGGGGTCAGCAGGCTCAATCAGGTTGTAAAGGCTGCACCTGAAAGCCTGTCCTTCCAAATAAACATATTCTGGCATTACTGCCTGAAGATTGTGCTCCTTTATTTGGATGGTATAGCCATAGTCAACCAACATCACTCTGGCAAGACTTTTCTGTTTTTCTATGATGACCCCCCTGTACCATCTTCCATCTTGAGGTGACTTGGCGACACAACATGAATCACCAGACTGGTGGGGGACAGTATGAGTCGAGTAATATTGCTGAACTTCAGCCATCAGTTCCTCCAAAGCTGGAATTTTATCTAGAGGCTGGCACCAGAACTCTGATGGAGAGCTGATGTACGAGCAACACACAGCAAACTCGCACCCAGGCTTGATGCTTAATTCTTTGAAGATAACAGGAGGTTGGGCCTTGTTTATTTCTTTTTTGCACATTTTCTCTTCCTCCAATTGCTCTGCATTCCCATTGATGTCTGATGTCAAACTATATCTTGGGCACCTTGTTGTTTCTGACATATCTTTGTTATTTTGCACCACAGGCTGTATGGGAATGTTGTTCCAGTAGTCAGCTTGTTTGGAAGAGATCAGGAGCTTGGAGATACTTTGATTGTTGTCACTTCCGATCTCATAGAGATCAACAACAAATTTGTTTTTTCTCATCTGGACAACATTGACAAGTAGGGCTTTGTTTGACACGGCTCTTTTGAAAAAGTCAGAGGCATTACTGGTCCACACTTCATCCAATGGAAACACATTAACAAGAGTACAACAGAATGCAAATGCTGATTTGCTGGCAAATGTCTCGGGTATCTTCTTGATTAACATGTATGGCACTTTCTCAATGTTTCCAAAATCGATAAAAAAAACTTCCGCTCCATGTACAAGAGTGTCTGTCACTACACCCCTGTAGAAATGCATGTCTTCCTCATAAACTGCACAGCACATCGTCCCAAGCTCAGGATTCAACAGTACGTCTTCATCCAGCTTCACTTGACTGAAGTGATCTGCCATTTTTGTCATCATTTCTTCAAACTCATCATTGCGTTTTTGTGTTCTGATCCAGAAATGGTTTGGATTCTGGACATGCTCAACATAGCCCACAAAGACAGAGTCTACCGTCACCTCTTCTGCTTCCACTGTTTTACCCAATTCTTCGCCCATGATTGTCTCGTATTTTAAATACCCACACCGAGGTGACACTTGTTCTGTCTCAACCTTTGTTCTTGGATGCTCTAGAATGGGCTCTGGTGCCTTCACACGGTTATCTTCAGCACCTATTACTGTGATAGAGTACAGATGCTGTCCTTCGTCAAAACTTCTGATCTCTACATCTAACAATCTTCCAAGCAAGCCTGCCTTGAGAAAACTCAACTGCTGGGTTTTGACCGACTCATCTTGATCATTCAGGGAAGACAGCGAGCATGGAAATGCCATGATGGGTGGTGAATAGAAATCAGGTGTCAACCTGTGGACATTTTCAACTTTGACAGATTCAAAGAATCCGTAATCAATGAACAGAACTCTAACTTGAGAGTTGACTGGGAGAAACTGCACAAAGCCTCTATGCCATTTCCCATCTTTGCCTTTAACTGCACACAGCAAACCCAGGTTTTCTGGAGTCTCCTGATTGTGTTCTTTGGTTCTGTGCTCACAAACTGCAGCCAGCTTCTGTGACATTTCCCAAAGATCTGTGTCCATACAGATCCTCTGACAGTAAAACAGCCCAGGTTTGACAGCAGCCGTCACACGCACTTTAACACGTGTCCCACAACTCAATCTAGGCCCACAGAAGGACAGAATGTCTTCGTATCCCTGCAAACCAGGCGGACTGAAGCTAAATTCTTGTCCCCTCGGCTTTTCTATGAGTAAGTCAGGTACTGGCTCTAAGTTTTGTTTGAGCGGCACCTCTGTGAGCATCTCAACCAAGAGGAGGAAAGTATCTGTGTCCACATGTCTCCCAAACCCATGTCTAACAAGGTCGATGTTGATGTCAGAGGCTTCTAATAATAGCACTTTGTGGGGCAGGAAAGCTTGGATGTAACCTGTGACATTTCTTCCGATCAGGTTTGAGAAGTACCCCTCCACTACAGAATGAGAACAATCTTGAAGCAGCAGTACATTCGCAAGAAAGCCGCAAACTATCTTGGGAGGCAGGATGAACAGCTCGTTTGAACAGGAAGATATGTGGCTGATGTCGACACTCAAGACATTACCGTGATCTATGAGGTAAACATCAAACAAGTCCTCTTTTCGGTTTTGAACTCTTCCCCTGTACCAGCGAGCTGAAGTCAAATCTTCTACAAGGCAAAACTCTCCGACATCGACTACAGCTTTAGTCTTAGGTATGTTCTGTATTTCTCCTTGCAAGATGGTATAATCAAGTTCACATATGGTATGGTACTGTCCCTGGAAGTGTATCAGAGTTGCTTCTGGGTTCCAGTCCAGGTGAGTTAACCTGAGGTCCACTGGCCAAAGGGCGTATGGTACAGATGGACCAGAATTCAGAGACCTGAAAATTTATGTGACTTATATTATAAGATTCAAAAACTGTTAATTATTTGGTGAGTTTATGACTTCATTCACTAAAGTACCAAAGGCTGTCATTGCACGCCATGGAATTATTTCAGAGACTAGTAGGTAAAGAAAAAGGAAATCCATACTCCCCCATTTACCAGTCCCTCTATAATTAACTACAGCTGCAATGATTAAGTTGTCAGCCATTAACAAGATGTCTATGAAGATTCTCAGTCATCCAGGTCATAGTTATCCAACAAAGGTCAAAATGAAGGGCAACTGGACTTGGTTGAAGATACTGGAAGACGTTTCGTCCCTTATCCAAAGGACTTCTTCAGTTCTGACTGACTGGCAGGGAAACTCATCTATTTAACCCCAGTGGGGTCGTTGGCCCGGGTCATCGATACCGCTGGTTCGTTAGTGTTCCTTGTTGCTGTGACGACAGTCGTTAAGACTACCTGTGGCCAAGACTGAACGACCATCGTTGGTATCTTCACCTGAGGCCAATAGGTTACGTTTGTTGAGTTTCCTGGGAAGTGATGAAAGGACAGCATTGTAAGTGGGGGATAAGTGGTGGCGTAGACCCCCCCCCTGTTCAATGACGGCTTCTCGACCCTGGTGTAGATGGCTTCCTTGACACCTCTTTCAAACCATCCATCTTCTCTGTCTAAAATGTGCACCTGGTGGTCCTCAAACGAGTGTCCTCTGTCCTTCAGATGTAAGTAGACTGCAGAGTCTTGACCTGAGGAGTTGGCCCTTCTGTGTTGAGCCATGCGTTTGTGTAGTGGTTGTTTAGTCTCCCCAATATACAGGTCTGTGCATTCCTCACTGCATTGGACCGCATACACTAGATTGCTTTTCTTGTGTTTGGGTGTGCGGTCTTTGGGGTGGACCAGCATCTGTCTTAGTGTGTTCTTGGGTTTAAAAAACACAGGGATGTTATGTTTGTTAAAAATCCTCCTGAGTTTCTCTGATACTCCAGACACGTATGGAATCACAATGTTGTTGCGTTTGACCTTCTTTTCCTCCTCCCCTGTAGTTTTGTTCTTCTTGGATTTTGTGGCTGTCTTCACAAACGATGGTCGTTCAGTCTTGGCCACAGGTAGTCTTAACGACTGTAACGACTGTCGTCACAGCAACAAGGAACACTAACGAACCAGCGGTATCGATGACCCGGGATAACGACCCCACTGAGGTTAAATAGATGAGTTTCCCTGCCAGTCAGTCAGAACTGAAGAAGTCCTTTGGATAAGGGACGAAACGTCTTCCAGTAGCTTCAACCAAGTCCAGTTGCCCTTCATTTTAACCTTCGTTGGTCAACCATTAAATTAATCCCCAATTATTGATAACCGATTTGAATAATTTACGCTATAGTGAGTAGTACATTGAGATTTTAAACCCTCATGAATCAACTATGATCATTTTGCTTTATCACTATGCACAATTATTACCTTATTAATAATTACCTAAAGCATTATTGTGGAAGTTTTGTTAAATAGTGTCGCTTTCATCCAGCTTGTCTAATTAAATATTTCACATAAAAATGCTTGGATGGAAACATGGCTCTGGGATTCCCCGTTGCATTACAAATTTTAGAAAAGGGAATCAAGCATCCTTCTACATTAATTAACAGTTTTGAACTGCTTCTTCATTATATTAGGTCGGCCTACACAACGCTTTTAGAAATAAACATTGAAATAAATCTTAGTAAATTTAGCTGTGAACTTCTAAACCTGTCACTGAAAGAAAAAAAAAATCTGATGCATTACAGTATAAATAAGAACATATCAGCATCACTTCACTTTGCCAGTTTGTTTTACTTACTTTTGATGTTCGGAGCTCAACACTGACTGCATGGCAGCAGCATCAGTAGTGGTCCTCTCCTAAACAGAATCTGAACAATAAAATTTGTAGATAATTAAACGTACTTTAATATAATAGAAAATAAAAAAGACAAGAACAAAACCAGCACTGCTGTTTACAGCATGTAATTAAGCATTTTACACATTTTGTATTTTAAGGCACATGCATAAATAAACTGAGGTCAAATATTAACCAGGATTAGGTCTTATAGAAGTCCACCATAAAGAAGAGCACATCTGGTCAAAGATAACATTGGTGCTTTGTTTTTCAGATTTTATTTTGGCTATCTTTAGCATCTAACAAATCTGTTGTGGATCTGGCAGTTAACTTTAGTAGATTGGATTAGATTAGATTGTAGTCATCCAATTATCCATTAACAATAATACATATCCAAAGCATTAAAGGAAGTTCTGTTTTATGTATCTTGGTAGATGGGCTGAGTTTAAATGCCATGAAATTTAAAAACACAAATGTGCAGCTAGCTTAGATCTGCGAGTTGATGATTTTAGCAACCTACCGTTAGCTACCGTAGCTTTCTGCAATTTAAACCGCATACTGCTGAACCAAAAATCTGATTTCAAATGAAGAAATATGGCAAACTTTCGTTTCCCTTAACCAGCATTGGTACAAGAACGTGTCCGGACTAAACAAACGTGACTCCGCCGACTTTCTCATGGCGGTTCAAGTTCACATTCAGCGGCAGTAAAACTAGCAAAGAGGTAACGTCCTTAAATATGCTAACACTAAACGATGCTAAAGCTAACTTCACATTTCGGCCTAAATGGCAGCGTCCATCACGGTCGATTCTATCTGAATTTACCCTCAGAGACTAGAAAGTTGGTGTTAGTAAGTTGGTGACATACTTTTGACTAAAGTTCCGTTAGTGTTTCCTACCTTTTGTGTCGCTTCATGTGTGCAACCTGTCAAGTTACTCGGGATGCTGCTAGTACCACGTGTCTGATCTCACTTCCGCGTTCTCCTCCAGGACCTCTAAGGTTAAGACACTATCTGGGTTTATTAGCAACTGGAGGTTAAATCTCAATGATGTGAATATCGGCAGTCTACTTGGAAATGATCTACAATAGAAACATGATCATTTCCAGCCCATTTCCAATTTATTCCTTTTAAGGCTTAAGCTAAATTTACAATTGAGTTAACTTGACTTTGTTTTATGTAGAGCTAGACACAGATGTGGATAAAGTATTCAGATTCTTTACAAGAGTAAAAGTACTAATTACTCAAGGTAAAAATTCTCTTTTACAACTAAAAGTACTGCATTGGAAATGTAACTTAAGTAATAAAAGTATGGATGAAGGCTATTATTATTACTCATTCATTAATATAAAAGCAGGATTTTACTGTTGTAGTAGTTTGTTGAGGTTGAACTATTTTGTATCAGACTGCAATTTTCATTATGGATTAATCCTCTGATTATATTTTTCTTAATCGATTTTAAAAATATTGTCACAATTGTGCAGAGCACAAAGTGACACCTTCACAATGCTTGTTTTGTCATTCTAAACCTGAAAAATATTAATGATACATTAATGAATCATAGGAAAATGAGAAAATCTTCATATTTGGGAAGCTGGAACCATGAACAATGACTTAGACGATTATCAAAATAGTTGACAATTGAATTTATGTCGATCAACTAGTGTACTAGTTGTACTTGTATTAACCGTTGAATAAAATATAGTGAAGTAAAAAGTACAATATTTCCCTATAGGATGTAGTGGAGTAGAAGTAGAAAGTGTCATGGTAAGAAAATACTCAAGTAAAGTACAAATATCTCAAATTTGTACTTAAGTGTACTTGAGTAAATATAGTTACTGTCCAGCACTTCCTAGAACCCCCTAATATATAGTAAAACAAGACTCATGATATACAACATGCTAAATTAATTTGTAATGAATACAAACACCACAATAAAGATGCATCTAAAGTAAATATTTTAAAGTGAAAATGTTGTGAAAATGATAGATTGTTTTGAATAGTCTGGTGTAGTGCTGAAACGTTTAGTCATTTAAATGATTAGTGGATCCACAGAAGATTAATTGGCAACAAGTTTTGTTTAAATCGTTCATTAAGCAAAACTGCCAAACATGATCTACTTCCAGAAGCTTACTTGTGACAAATGTTTATATTTTTTAATTTTACTTAAGGCTGTTGTCTTACAAAACAAATAATTCATAATGTGATTTCTTCATAATGTCATCTTTGGCTTTAGGAAATGTAACTGTAATAGGCTCCACTATTTTCTCACAGTCTCTGTTTCTTTTCCTTTACATAAGCAGGTAAAAGTCTTGTGGAGTTTAAAATTAACTAATTGACTAATATCTGTATCCAGATGCATATACAGGTATTTGAGTTTTAAAAACTAAGTAAAGTGAAAGCAAACTGAACAGTTCTGTCTAAAACCTCTGCTGGTTTTTCATGAATATATAACTTGGTCCAACTGACTGTGGGAGGCAGGTTGGATGGATAGACAGATGGATGAGGTTTTTTTTCTTCTGTTAATCATTAATAACCTGGATTAGCCCCAGTCTTCTGTAAATATGATGAATGCATCCACGGCTTCACTAGCTGTGCCTCCCCACAGCTCAGCTTTATCAGTCTGAGGTTGCTCTTTCAGGGTTAGATCAGTGCCGCTTCTTCCCACTTTTCTTTAGCTTTAGTTCAGTGGTTGGACCAAAATGCTGGACATGGTGTTAGTTATAGGTTTTTATCTTTTCCTGGACTCGTGTGAAGGTGGGATTGACAGTTTTTAAAGATTGTGTGCAGAGCTGATTCACAGTCTTAAGGACAAATGAGCTGCAGTGGACTGTTTTTCTTTTCACCGCAGGCTGACTTCAGTTTTCTTCTTCTTTGTCTTCGGTTGATTTGTTTATTGACATTTATTTTTATGTGACTATGCCAATGAAACGCAGCAGTGAGGGTTCAGCCAGGGATGGAGTGTTTCTTATCCACTCTTTAACCAAGACTTTGTGCAGCTCACCAGAAGAAACGCACACAGACTTTAACGGACAGACACATTTTCATCAGGAGGATGATTCTGGGATTAAATCAGGTAATGGAACAATTATTGTCAATCACTTATGTAATATTGCTGTTAAGAGCTCAGACTAGTAAGGCTGAAACGTTCCTTTTTTATATTAATATCCTTTATTTGTCTTTTTAGTTTTCATCATCTTTTCTTTTCTTTCAATCTGAGTGTTTTTCTGTAGTTAGATTTTACATCCGCTCAGGTAGAAACATGACACAAATTGACCACATGGTGGTGCTACAACAACAACAACAACAACAGAGTTCACTGAACTGACAGTAAGACCTTTTTCCACAGTGATGGATTAAATGTTTCATCGACACCTTGTTTGCTCCAAAGGCCGTGAACCCTACTCATGGCTGCTTGCAGCTTAATTATTATCAATATTGGGATTAAACACTAGTCTATAACAGACTATAGTCTATTTCCCTGGTCACTGTTTTTACCATCTTTACCTAAAATTACACTTTGTTTGCCCAAACTAATTTTTTCTGTGGCAGTCAGCTTGACACGGTGAGGACTTTCAGGTGATACTATAATGTCTGGTGGATATATAAGAACTCTTGAAGCATCTTCTCTACACACGAAATTTTACCATGTCAATGATAACCCATGAATGTGTTTGCTGTTTTTAAATGTGTATTAGTAAATGTTTTCTAATTAATTTGGCTTATTAGATAGTTCCTCATTGCTTTGTTATTATTGTTGTTGTTATTACTGTGGCTATTGTAGCAATTATTTTCTCAGTTTTTATCATCATGACATGACATGAATAGGTTTGTCTCTATTGTCACTGTGGAGAATTTGTTCTAGTTTGCACGGAGAAAAATGGAAACTCTCTGACACGAAAAAGCAATTAAACATTCCCTTTGAACACAAAATGCAGTTACAGAACATGTTTTTTGAAAGGCTGTTAGGGCACTCAGAAAATAATGGCCTGTTATTTGATTCTTTTTAACACTACTCATACAATTTATTGTTTACTGTGCGGGCAGACCAGTGAACACTCAAAGTTAACTGATAAATGAAAGCTCAAATCACTTTCTCAAGGTCAGAAACTAATATAAGAACGGTGGCTTACCTCTAAGCCACGGCCGCTCACTCTTATTTAGATAAATGTGATCTGGGAAGACCAGTATTTGTGTAAAACCTACTAAAACAATAAGTAAGGTCTGGATTCCACTCTAATCTACAGCATGTAATGTATTTCAATAATTGTTTTACACTAAAAGAGATGTTGGAAAAAGGCAGCATGCAAATTTGTGCTGGCAGTCTTTTGTCAAAAACAAGCACGTTGAATAAATTTTTTTGGCAAAATGCACCCGTCTCTCTTATGAATGATTTGGTGTATTTGTCTGCATGTTTTCTCAGAAGCAGAGGACAGTAATGAGACGCCGTCCTCTGAGGAAGATCAGGACCTGGTGGACCCAGACCTGACCATTAAACATAGCATTACGTCTTCCAGGAAGACCATCAGTCAGATCATCAAGGACAAGAAGAAACAGACACAACTCACTCTGCAGTGGTAAGAGCACCACGAGCAGCACAAGCATATGTATAGGTGTCTGAGGTCATGAACATACGGTAAATCCAAAGCTATTTGCTAGCGATGTTTTGCATCGCAGAAACCTTCCTTCCTACAAGATGCCAGTGGTAGAAGAAATATTCATATCTTTTACGTAAGTAAAAGTACTAATAACACACTGTGAGAATAATGTAAGTAAAAGTATTGCATTCAAAACCTTGATTACGATTAATTACATGTTATCAGTCAGCAGTCTGAGTTAATAAGAGGAACTGCTGTGTGTCATTATAAAATAAATACTCACAAGCCAAAACTTCAGACAAAACCTGCATCTCAGTAGTTTTTAAGACTCCACAAAGATTCTTCTTTGTAGTTGTAAACAAAATGATTTTGTGGTCTGCAAAGTAAAGGATTTTTAACTTTTAAGTAGCTTCTTCTTATTCATAAACCAAACAAAAACAACAACCAGATGCAACTTCTTTCTGGTCTTTTTGACTTTTAACCAATTTTGCAACTAAATGATTCATTTATTATTTATTTTCAGTATATCCAAGTCCAATTTGCTATATTTCCTTCACGTTTTTTCCTCTAAAAATATAAAAATATTAGTATTTACATTTACTATATCATCTGTATTTTCTCTCTCATGTGTCTCAACAGGCTGGAGGAGAATTATATAGTGTGTGAAGGAGTGTGTCTACCTCGATGTATCCTCTATTCTCACTACCTGGACTTCTGCAGGAAAGAGAAACTAGAGCCGGCCTGTGCTGCTACATTTGGAAAGGTGCGTGTGTGTGAGAGTGTTTGCCTAGAAAGCATTGTCATTGTCCAAAATGAATTTTATAAAAATCAAAAACAGTTATCCATCTGCAGACATTTTGTGTTATTTTAGTTCTCACAGATTAAATAAGTAATCATTTATTTATTTTTCTCTTCTTGCCCTGTTAAGGGTACAGTGCTGTGTTGAATGAACAGTTTGGTGTCTTTGTTGTTATTAGTATGGCATTTTTATTTAAGGTTGTCTTAAAAATGTCCCACAAACTCTATACTTCAGCTTTCCAACGGCTTAAAACTGTATTATTAACAATACAGTTATAAACATGACATGCCATGCATTATGAGGGTTCTGTAAATATAGATTCCACAATGAAAT